TTGGGTTCTTTCTTTCGCTTTCTTTCAAAAACAACATATGGGGAGCAAAGAGACTTTCTTCTTCTATTTAACCTATTCTTAATCCTTTTGATCAAGCTTCGTTGTGGGGATTCTTTAACCCACCTTCTCGGAAATTCCACCGGCGCTTGTTTAATTGATTTTTCTACTCGCACGACATGTAACTTTAGGTCGGTCACTGTATTCTCTAACGTTGTCAGTCGACTATAAACAGAGTCTTCAAATTCCAAAATTGTATTCTCTAACTGTGTTAGATGACTGTCAACCGATACTTGAAAGTCCAATATAATTTTTTGTTGGGACTTCAATAAATCGTGGATCTCTTCAAATCCAAATGTTTGTCCCATCCTCTGACTCGACTGTTCATATGTATGACTGCCGGATGGTTGAGTACCAACGTAATAAGGTACTATAGGGGATACCTCAACATGCATGGGTGACTGTGGTCTTGAAAGGGTTTCCCTCTGTGGGAGAAAATTTGCTGGACTGGAGGGCTCTACAAGTGAATTGGCAAATAAGTGATGTTCACTTTCCTTTAAATCAAGGAAATAATCATACACCTGCCAAAAAAAACATAGCACACAATCAAGGGCAATTAATATGTAACATGACAACTTGACAAACTATAATTGAACCTTATTTAATTAACCTCGGCAGGGCTGAGCATGTTGAACGCTAGTTGAATTTGTATAGCATTCCATCTAACATTTACTGGCCATCTTATCATTCGGGGTCTAGCCTCAGGAACTGCTGGCACGACCAATGATGTGTGCTCATAAAACCAGAGCTGTGTTAAGCAAGTTAAATTAACTAATTGGTATCAAAATCAACAATAATGAAAAGAAATTTCAATAATAATGTCGGACAAACCGTTAAGAGGAAGACAAAGCCAGTAATATATCCAAGTGGCTGATCCGTCCTAAGCTTCACCGCACATAAGTTCAATTGATCAATCAAAAAGCCACACACTGTCGCGGGCCAATTATACGAGCTGAATGCTTCAACGTCCTCGCAAATAGAGGTGAGCTGCTTGGAAACTCTAAAATTACTTGAAGGAAAAAGTAAATTAGTCCATAAGAACTTTATTAATAATTCTATGAAACGGTCAGAAGACTCTCCTGGGTCAAAGTTGATAAGTTGGGTCTTCATTTGTCTCGCATCAATACTACATGATGGAGCTTTATTCCAGGATGCGGGCAACCCTCTATTTGGCATGCCTATTAGGAGAGCAACTTGGTCAACATCAAATTTCAGCTCTTTCCCACCCAGCTGAAACGTCGTTCGATCAATATTCCAACAGTTAATTATATGCATTGTCAGAATATGATCCTGTGGGTATGGAGGGAGTTCAAAAAATTGAACCAAGCTCATGTTTTCTAATTTATTCCACGTGTGCTCGTCGATGGTGGGCCGGACCTTATCCAGAGCTTCTCGTACTGCAGATGGACGACATCTGCAGTTCATTGATTTCGCGCTCAAAAACCTACATTTAATTTTAATGTATGTTAAACTATGTAAATAATGATGAAAGAAATTTAAAATTTTCTATAATTCAGTCTTAAAATTCATCATTCAGAATTAATATAACTCAAGAAGTTAAATTTACCATTAAACATTAACGAAAGCAAAATATCAAATGTACCTAGAAACGACCTTGGGTTGCTTTATGGATTCGGTCTCCTCTGTTTTCCCCGTTTTTGAGCCACCTAAATCCTTCTTCTTGCGTCCACCCTTCACCATTATCTTTGGCAGCTCGTCCTCAAACTTCTTGCCTTCCTCGACATCCGGCTTCTCCGCCTCCTCAAAATGGGCAACATTCTCCTCTTCCAACGACGTCGTACCCTTGCCGTTGTCCTCCATTTTCGACTAAACCCTAAACAACACCAAAACCTCGACGTAACGTTCGAGTCAATGCAAACCCTAGGCGCGAACGAAAATACGAATTCTTACTGTCAAGAAATTTTTTACCACGGTATTTGATCAGTGTCGTTAAATGAAGATTACATTCACTACCTAGGTTACTGCCAAGTTACACGGACATTTCAATTTCTGAGGCGATTACCGCAAAGTTACGCTTCACTTTCTCTTGGTTACGTGTCGGTTACAGCTCAGCTATACCGCTAGGTTACAACGCGCGGTATGAACTCTCGGTTACAGTTAAGTTATAGTTCGTTTACAAAGTTACGCATGGTATGAACTCTTAATCACAATTAAGTTATAGTTCGTTTACAAAGTTACGCATGGTATGAACTCTTAATCACAATTAAGTTATAGTTCGTTTACAAAGTTACGCTTCACTTTATCTCGGTTACGCCTTAGTTACAACTCAATTATACTGCTGCGATATAACGCGCGGTTTGAACTCTCGGTTACGTCTTGGTTACAGCGAGGTTATAAACACGTTTCATTCGTATTGAGGTTACTGGAAGGTTATAAGTCTGTTATCCGAGTGAGCAGTACCGCGGTAATGGCCCGCTCGATTACAAATCCCGTACCGCTCGGTTATAACTCGGTTATAATCGAGCGGGCCAGGTCGACGGGTCGCATTTGAATGAATGCGGCGGGACCCATTGGAGCTGCCTAAGTATTAAGTATGCAAATTTTTTCCCTAACCATCCCCTTTTGTATCCCGCGTTGCGTCCCCTTCACAGCAGAGTCGGACATACGCCAAGCAAAACGTCGACATTCGCCGTTCTACTTTCGCTTCACCCGGTGATCATCGGAGAAGAGAAAGCCAGAGAGATCTCCGGGCTCAGACGCGATGGCGGCGCCGGCTGTGAACGTGATGCTTGCGGTGCACGAGAAAAAGACCGCCCCTGTCGATCTCTACCGCCCATTCCGGCAGTACATCGCTGCCAATTTCTCCGAGCGCGAAGCTCAGATGGCGGAGGATGACCTCGAATCTGTCCGACAGATGCGATCCAACGTTGAGAAACCTACCGACCCCTCGCCAGAGTCCCGTCGAGATCTACTCGTGGCCTACTTTCGCGCCCTAGCCCTTATCGAACCACGCTTCCCTATTTCCTCCGAGCGATCCCACGTCAACTCCCTCACCTTCACTTGGTACGACGCTTTTAAGCCCTCCAAGAAGGCTTCTCTCCAGAGCATCCACCTCGAGAAGTTTGCCATCCTATTCAACATTGGGGCTGCTTACAGCCAGATAGCCCTATCAGCGGATAGAACCTCGCAAGCAGGGCTCAAGCAGGCGTGCAATGGCTTCCAGGGCGCGGCCGGGTCCTTTGCAATGCTCCGTGAGGTCGTTGCGCCAAAACTAGCAGCGCTCGGTACTGGCACTATTGACCTGTCGGTTGAATGTGCGGGCATGCTTGAGCGTCTCATGCTTGCACAGGCGCAAGAGTGCTTTTTTGAGAAGGTTATAGCAGATGCCAAGCCCCCCGGCATCTGCTCCAAGGTCGCACGGCAGGTTTGTCCCTTCCAACTAGTTTCCCTAAATTTTTTTGTCATTTTAGCTTTTATTAAATAGTTTTAGAAATTCATTGTTGAATTTAAATATTATTCACGGCCAATTGGGCCGGGAAAGGGAGAGGGAGAGGGAGAGGGAGAGGGAGAGAGGGGAGGGGGGGGGGGGGGAGGGAGGGGAGAAAGAAAGTGAGAGGGAGGGAGGGTGGGATTCTACAAATAACAATGTTTCTCCCTTTTTGAAAGTCTTAGAGTGGAACATCTTTTTTTATTCCTCCATGGCACCAACTTCAAAATCTTTTCTTGAATGAGGATGAAACTCCATAGATTAATGATTTTGTAGCTCTAGAGAAGATTGTACTTGTTTGATGACCTAGTAGAGAGGCATTGTAGTATTTTTAGTGGACTTAGTGCTATCATAGCTAGAGTCATATTGGAGTTCGATAACTTAAATGGCGAGATCATCTCTGTCAAGTGGAATACATCTTATTTACAAAGTTGTCATTTCTTTAACGGTGTCGGGTTCATACTTCACAATTTTACTTTTTGGGGCTAGAGAAGATTTTCAATCATATGGTTCTAGATCTATTGGGAGGTTAATTTCAATTTTGTTACCAAGTTTCAAAAATATACCAATGGCTTCTACTCGTCCAATTTTCGTAAAGATTTTCTTATAACAAAAGTGAGCTTGTGCTTTCAGAGATTTAAAATGACAATAAAATTATGATTTTTTAATTTATTTGTTGATTTGACCTTAAACATCATTTCCAGCAGGCATAGAATTGAGTGATATCTTATGATTTGACTCACATGAGTTAGCCATGCAACTCTATCTTTAACGAATTCTATCATACATTTCATTAGAGTGATTCTTACCCATCTTTTCTTTCTCTCTCAAGAAAGAGCATGTCGAAGTTGTTTTGAGTTGCACTGAAAAGTTCAAGAAAACAAATTTAGGGTTTTTTTTGTTGATCACTAAGAACAGTTTTGAGTAATTGCAAAGGGGGTTTTACATTGTTGAAGAGTTTGTGGTTTGAGTTATGGGGACTTTAATTTCCTTTCCTCATTATATCAAAGATTGAAAAACTTATTTTTTTCTACATTGATCAAATTCACTTTTTTTCTACGTTACAAAGAGCATGTCGAAGTTATTTTGAGTTGCACTGAAAAGTTCAAGAAAACAAATTTAGGGTTTTTTTTGTTGATCACTAAGAACAGTTTTGAGTAATTGCAAAGGGGGTTTTACATTGTTGAAGAGTTTGTGGTTTGAGTTATGGGGACTGTAATTTCCTTTCCTCATTATATCAAAGATTGAAAAACTTTTTTTTTTTTTCTACATTGATCAAATTCACTTTGGATTACAACTCCCTTCTTCTTCTAAGGTGTAACCTTCCTTTAGTTTGATGGCTTGGTGACTGCCTAGGCTGTACCGAACTTCTTTGTTAGGATGATAGAATCCATTATTTATTTGTGCGAACAACATATGAACTCAAGTGTGAATCTTTTTCATTTCATTATTAAAGTATAGCATTCAATTACTGTTTTATTATTGTTTCATTAAAATCTATAAAAATTGGACGGTTAAAAAAGGTGATAGAATAAGAATGTTTTATTTTTTTAAAGTATGCAAGAGAGTGGTCTATTGACTTTAGTTTAGGTGATATTCCATCCATTAAGATGGCGCCTGCGTGTCTCTCCAATGCAGAGTTTGAGTTCTTTGGAACTTGCAGGAGTGGGGAGTTATATTGCATGAAATATATTTCTAAGTTGTACATTAAAATAGTCATTCCTTCCAAAAAAAACCAATGTCAAGGAAGTTGAGGAGCCTTTATTTATATTTTTGTACCCATTTGTAGCTCTTTTTCATAATTTTCTATATTCATTCTAGTTCTCAAGATTTCAGACAAGATTTATCCTTCTAAGCCTAGTTAACCTTTTGAGATTGAGTTTGAGAATTTTTGGATGAATTTTTCGGTTTATAAACAAAATCCCTTGCCAAAAAAAAAAAAAAAAAAAAACAAATGGATAAAAATGATGAAGTTGAGAAGGTGAATGCCATCGTAAGCTTTGCTCTAAGTCATGAAGGAATTGTAAATAAAAATTATAGATTGAAGGTTATGTTATATTAGTTATCCAACATAAAAAAAAAGTTGTTTGATAAACTAAAATTGATCAAGTGATTTTTTATCGAGTTTGTTGAGGAAAGTCGAGACCAATTTAAAGAGAAGTGTTCTAGAAGAGGCATGGACAAATTTTTTTGTTGTGCCTTAAATTTGGAGAGACCTTGGTACTTCAGTGTTGCCTCTTAAGGAGCATAGTAAGATTCAATTGGCAAGTTCTTTGAAAATGTGAACAATAGAAGTGAAGAGTCCTGATGGTGCAAATAATGAAATTATTCAAAGGATGATACTTGGCATTTGCTGTGTAATTTTTTTTTTTTTGAATGAAATATGTATATTTAGATGCACATTTTTGCAATTTGAATAAGTTTCCTATATCTTTCTTATGTGAGAGGATTCATAAGTCTTCTTTGTTGGAATATTGAGTTTATTATATTAGATTGTTGATTGAAACCAGTTGGCCAAACATCAAAGTTTATGCCTAAGCTATCTTGCTTATTTTCTTAAAGTATTTTTAGATAAATCGGTGTCACCATAGATGGGCCTTATCTTTCAGAGCTTTTGTTTTTATAAGGGTAATTATCTAGATTTGCTGTTAGAAGGGGTTGCTTGCAGATTTTGTTGCAAATGGGGAAGTTCGATTTCTTGGGCTAAGCTTTTTTATCTATTAACACAAATGATATTTCAATATGATAATTATCAAAATTTTTAAAGTAAGATGCTGAAATGGCCGGATAGAAATCCAAAGTATGAGGGTAGAGTGGTTAAAATTAGTGGTTATTGCCCAATATTAAATAACAGCTTCATTGAATTTGTTTGACTGCAAATTTCAATCATATATATTTTACAATTGATCTCTCAAGTGTATTTTTAATATCAAGTTATATGAGAATTATAACTATGAGAAATGAATTGGAATATAATCTCCATGTTCAATTTTGGATGCCCGCTAATTGACTTTTGCATCAAGCTGTGATTTTGTGAATTATTAAATTTTAATTCCCCGAATATTATCATTTTCTATGATCATAGTGAGTTAGATAGCAAGTGCTCACCAAGTTTCTTGAGAATTATCAATTTTAAGATGGGCTCTCAACAGGAGGCGAGTATCAAATTTCCATGCTTTAAAGTTATTTGTAGAATTCAAGTTGGTTGGTTGAAACGGAGGAATGCTTCGGGCCTATTCTGTGATAGAAAGGTACTGCTTAGATTTAAAGGAAATTTTATAAGATGATGGTTAGACATGCATTGCTCTATAACGCAAAATGTTGGCCTTTAAAAGGGAAGCATTAAACAAAATTAAGTGTTGCTGAGGTGAGAATGCTCAGGTGGATGAGTGGCTTGACACTCAAGAACAAAATCTGAAGTGAATTTATCCATGATAGTGTCGATGGTTTGCTCAATATTAGAGAGAGTTGTCTTAAATGGTTTGGTCACATTAAACACCGATCATCTGATGATCCTGTTAGGAGAGTAGATGTTTTAGATTCAACTTATGTTTAGAAAGGCAGAGGTAGATTAGAAAGACTTTGCATATTGTATAACTATGATGACACTCAATAGGACATAATGGGGAAATGATTCACGTAGTCGACTCCACATAGTGGGATAAGGCTTTGTTGTTGTTGTGTAGATGCTCTTACTAGACATTTATAGGGGAATACACCTTAGTGTATGCTTTTCACTGTTGATATTCTTCTTGTGGATAAGACTAGAGAAACAGTTTAAGAAAAACTTGAATTATGGAGGTCTACACTTGAGTTTAAAGGCTTTTGTTTGAGTAGATCTAAAATTGAATATATGGAATGTAATTTTAGTAGTAATAGATTTAATTGCAGAGTTGTAATATGGGTGATCAAATCATTAAATATGTGAACGTTTTAGATATCTCAGGTTTGTTGTTCAAAGTGATGATGGTATAGATGTGAATGTTAGCAGTAGGATTCAAGTTGGTTGGTTGAAGTGAAGAAATGCATCGGGCCTATTGTGTGATAGAAAAGTATCACTTAGACATAATGTAAGATTTTATAAGATGGCGGTGAGACTTGCAATGCTTTATGGTGTGGATTGTTGGCCTTTAAAAGAGAAGCATAAAACCAAGTTAAGTGTTGTTGAGATGAGAATGCTTAGGTGGATGAGTGGCTTGACACATATAGACATAATGTGAAATGAATGTATCCATGAAAGGTTTAGTGTAGTTCCAGTGGCGGACAATATTAGAGAGAGTCGTCTTAGATGGTTTGATCACATTAATCGTTGGTCAACTGATGATTCGATTAATAACGTAGATGTTTTAGATTCGACTTGTATTAAGAAAGAAAGAGGTAGACATAAACAAACTTGGGCATATTGTATAAAAATGATATTAATTTTTATTAGAATTAAATGAAAATATGACAATCAATAGGACACAATGGAGAAAAAGGATTCATATACCTGATCCCACTTAGTGGGATAAAGACTTGTTGTTGTTGTTGTTGTTATAAACAAAAGAAAGTGTTTTAGTGTCCGATGTTATAATGGACATACTAGGAAAGATAGCTTTGACAAAATACTTGAAGCCATTTGCTTGACTCATGCTAGGGTGTTTTCATCTCCTCTCTCTTCATTAATTGATCATTTTTCAGCTCGAGTGAGTACAAGCTCTTCCGTTTCTCATTAATGAACTCTTCACTTATTCCACGAAGGTGCTAGCATTATTTTGTATCATGACAATGACTTTTGTGGAAGACATTTTTTTGTCACTTTTTTAGTTTGCAATTGGGTATATGGCAAAGGTAGTTAGTGAAAATACTCTTTTTCTTTAATTATATTCTCCGGTTAGGCATAAAATACTTCCAAAAAAATTTGAGCAATATTTTTTTGCAATTTTAGGTGATTGTTTCTTTGGTGGCAAATGCATTAGCAAATTTCTATATTCCATTTGCTACATATAATGAAGCATAGTGGTGGGTTATACCGAGTATTATTGTGAGTCCCATTGAAGTTGAATTTAAGTCACCTTAATTTCTAGTTGGTAGATTTCATTGTTAAGTCTCATGTTCAAAATATTTGGATTTTGATATCACCTGTAATCATATTGTTATGCATTTATGTGATTGTTGGTGAGTTTTAATATTTCTACCAATGTCTTTGGTTGCTTTAAAATGAGTGCATACCTGAATGATTTAGGTCTTCGAGCTATTGTGGCAAGGGCGACCACATATTTCAAATCGTGTACTTTTAACATCCCATATTGAAAGCGGGTCATATATTTTGCAGCAACTTTTTTGGTTCTTGTCTAATCTTTTAGAGAGATCTCAAAATTTTCAATAATATTTGGGCGGTTACAAATTGAGTAGCAAATAACTTATTAAATTCAACAAATGATGTTATTATTTCCATCGAAAGGCATAAGAAACACTTGAGGGATAATTCCATGAAAGTGGTAAAGAAAAAGTGATACTTCAAAGTGTCCTTTATGTATATCGAGGAGGTGGTTAACTTAATGGAAGCCAGACAGTCAGTACGATCCATCTTTTTTTAAGAAGATTCAAGATGGGTGGGTTTGAACTTTGTTGGAGGCTCTCTTTGAAATATAACTTGAGTGAATGCATTCATTAGCTGAAACTTTCTATTCTCAATAATATGGTGTGGAGTGGATTTTTCGTTACTATTTGGATAATAAGTATCATTTGTTATTTGGAATAGATTCATAGTTCTTATGTGTTAGGTTCCCTTCAAATTTTATCAAAAAATCTTCTTAGCATGTTCATCATTGGAGTAGTTTTAGGATCATCCGAAAAGCTTCCTGAATCGTTTCTGTGATTCTTTCTACCATCTCAATCAATTGCTTGTTTGTAACAAAAATTGTCGTTCTCCATGTTCACACACACACACACACACACAGATCAATGTTCTTAAAAGTGCGCTTCATGTGCAAAGAGAAGCAACGCGCGTGATACCTGCTTTACTTCGCTGAACCTTAGATTGTTTTATGAAACTTGAATTTTTATTAGTTTATTTATGCTCTAAATTTTAAATTTTATTCGAGTTATAATATTTTTTTTGGTAATTTTAAAATTTTAATTATTGCGACAAACTATTAGAAATTTTAATTTGCAGGTTCACTCTCAATGTTTGCCTTCTAGTTAAGTATTTCATCATATTTTTTTTTATTTAATCTCAATTTTGAAGTCATACTTTATATTTTATAATTGTCAATGAAGGTTTTTTTTACATTTAATAGTTTTATATAACCTATTAACATTTTAGTTAATAAGAGGGTCGCTTTGCTCTGCGCTCTACGCTTTGTGATTTGAAGCAAAAATAGTCTTGTGCATCGCATTGCGTTATATATATACCTACTCACATATACACATATATACATACATATACACACACATATTTGCTTACCGCTTTGCTTCTCATAGTGCTTGATATTTTAATATGGACATCAATTCTCATGCATTACACAGTTGATATTGTTGAATTTAAATTTATCAATGTGCCGTACTATATTTTTATTTTCAAAACTCACCAAACTCACAAAATAAGTGCTAGAGCTAGAAGGAAAAAAAAAATCTAGAGTGAAAAGCTCGGGGATTTCGCTAAATTGTAAAAAGTAAAAGAGTTGACAAATGACATGATCTTAATATTCACTTGAACCTTTTATTTATAGGTCTAGATCCTCTGGGAAGTGCCACATACTTAAGAAATTAGAAAATACATCACAATAGGAAGAGCCACATACTTACAGGATTTAGCCTAAATTATATAAGAGTACACAGGGTCTATTTATTGGATGAAGTCATTGACTTGTTGGCAGATGTCACCGACTTGTTATATAAAGTGTCCAACTTAGTTGAATGAGATGCGGGTGAATAGCTTTGGATCAGTAGACTATATTTTGGGTGCGTAGATTTATGATTGTATAGTTTTGGTGATTTCACTGTGTGCTTAGTGAGTTTCACCATGTTTAGTTCTAGTTCACCATCTTTATTCTCGGCTTCTGTTTGGATGCCTTGAATCTGATTGGCATTTGTTTAGTTGGGTTCTCAAAATGTATGAATTTACACTCATATCTCAATTTTTTTTTTAATTAAAGTGGAGACTCGTAGTACTTGTGGATGTTCACTGTATAGGACTTTTTAAAGGTGTTTAATGGTACAGCCTTACTTGTAATTTTTCTTGAGGATATAGTTCCTGTGAGTCACTGATTCCTCAACTTTCTTTTTACAATACTGTAATGTTGTGTTAATGTAGAAAGTCAGATTAGTACCTCATCTTAAAGAACCTATTTGGTTCTTTTTTTGTTGATTGTATACATTGATTACGTATTGTAGTTGGTTTGTAGCATCTGGGAGTGAAAGACAGTTTTGTGATAGTTCGGAATTAAAAGTTGTGTTCAGGCAGGTAATTTTGTAATGATGCAGGTTGGCCTATTCTATGAGGAAGCTTATGCAACACTAAATGCTGCTCCACTTAACCAGCATTTGGACAGAACATGGATCGCTCATATTCAGTTGAAGGCAGCTCAGTTCTATGCAGAGGCATGCTATAGATGTTCTTTAGAACTCCATGCGAAGGAAGAGATTGCAGAAGAAATAGCAAGGCTTAAGCTTGGGATTAATGCTTTATCCGATGCAAAAAAATCTGCAAAGGGTGTTGCTGCACCTCTTCTTGATGCAGTTTCCAGACTGGAGGGTCATATGAACCAGAATCTGGAACGGGCAATTAAGGAGAATGATAGGGTGTATCTCATGCGTGTTCCACCTGCCAGTTCATTAATTTCTCTTCCTGCTGCTTCTCTTGTCAAGCCTGTGTCTATGACGGAAGTCTTAGATGCAAGCAAGGAAAGGTTGTTCTTAAACATTGTTCCTGATAATAGTACGAAGTCTTTGTCACGGTATACAGAAATGGTTGATGATATTATTCGAACACAAGCTGAAAAATTGCAGCAGGGGAGTGAGATCACTAGAGTCAAGTTAAAGGAGATGGAGCTTCCTGATTCCATCTTAGCACTAGATGGTAGTTTTAGTTTACCCATGGATCTAAAGGAAGACGTTGAAGCTGTGCAGATTTGTGGTGGCCCATCAGGCTTACATGCTGAGTTGCAACAACTTACAGATTTGAGAAGGGTCAATCAGGAATTGCTGGTTCAGACTGAGGAACTATTACAAAAAGAAGCAAATGAGGACGCTCAATTCCGCACCCAGTTTGGAACAAAGTGGACTAGACCTCAGTCTAGCACCCTAACAAAGAACCTTTTTGATAGGCTGAATAGATTTGCTGCGAACCTTAAGCAAGCTAATGAAAGTGATGCTAGGATTGAGCGAGCTATCAGAGATCATTCCACTCTCATGTCAATCCTTGATCATAGACCAGTAAGCAAATCATCTTTTGCACCCTTATCTTCTTTGTTGCTATATTTTTTGCTTCTTTATTAAGTCCTGATAATTTTTGGCACCTGATTATTAAAATAATTTCAAATCTCTTTGATTTTTGGTTGCAAAATACTTACTGTTCGTTAGTTGGATGACTTCATCAACCAAAACAAAATTTGTGTATTGTTTTGCTGCTGCATTTCGTTATTTTTTCATATCACGTGCATTAGCATGATTTTCAATTTTATTTTGACATGGCACTTCCTCTCGAATTATGTTTCACACTGAGTGTTTTTTGATGAAACATTGCATCTGTTATTTTTTGCTCGAAGACAACAGGCCTGAAATCCAGAGATGTGTATTATTATTATTTTTTTTGTGGATGACATTTTTCTTCAAATGCATACCTTTAAATTGAAAATTTGAAGTTGAACTTGTTCTATTTAAGAGCCCATTTGTAATGAGTCCTACATTGATGTAAATTGAAGTCATGCATTTACTAGCACCTAGAACTTTTTATAGGCACGATTTGTTTACGCCCATTCTGATTTTTTTTATAACATTGGTTTTGCTGCTGATGTGCAACTAAAAAATGCCATAATTTGTTTTGATTCCTATTAGCATTTCCCATTTCTATCATTTTTAATTTGTTGTTTCTTCTTTTGTTGCCTAAAAGTTAGATCCATATATGTAGAATGTCTGTGTGTGTGCGTGGCATGCCTTGGAATGAGGTGCTTCTCCATTTTTCTTCCCTGTTTGAATTTAAAATATTATTGTTAAACTTTTATGAGTTGCTAAGAGAACTAAATTGGTATTTTTCCTGTCAAACCCAACCCATTGTTTTGATAAGTTGATTAGTTTTGTCAAGAGTATTTCTACTATTGAAGTGGAGTTGAGAAAGAAATCTTATATTAATAAGGAAACTTGGTGGAATAAGGATGTAGGAATTGTTCTTTTTGGAAAAAGATATGCTTTTAAAGAAAATTAAAAAGAAACACCACGAAAGCATATGAAAATTAGAAGTCTTTCCTTTCAAGAAGTTAACAAAATAAAACAACAATGTGATTTAGATGATAAGCTAGGTACTAAGGAAGAAGAAGTGGAGATATGTAAAAAAAAAAAAGACAGAAGCTTATATATTATGAGATTTTAAAAAAGACAGATGACGACATTAAGGAATATGTAAATACCACTTTTTTAAATGGTTAAATTTGAGCTTTAAGGAAGAAGTTATTTTAGAATAGTGTAATAAGGAGATTGTTAAATTTCTAAATATGAGATTTAATGAAGAAATTATTTAAGAGGAGTAATAAACAGATGATGATATTTATTATCTATTGATCTAAAAGAGTGAACCATATTTGACCTTAAAGAAGATGCATCAAGGTAAAATTTTAGAATATAAAATGCTTATTGTGGCCTAAGAGGATGCAAATAATTGTAGAAGAAATATTTTTGGCATTAATATTTAGGAAAAACTAAGATGTTCATGATTGTTATACTTTTTTGTTACAAATGAATAAAATTAATGATTTAATACAATGTGTTTATGAGAGGATAATGTATGCAAGCTTTGACAGATTAAGTTCATACTAGAGTAGCAATTTTGTAATACGTTAGGAAGATCCATTGTTGAAGCAATTTTTATTTTTAGAAAATTAATGAAAAGTAGGAAAGAATTTTCATATGGTATTCGAGGTGATTTTGTATTTTCATGTAATTAATGAAATTATAGCAACCAAAGAAAAAAAAATTATATGATTTTTTATTAGTTTTAAAAAGTCATGTCATCATGTACTATAAGAATTAATTTAGCTTAAATTAAGTAAAAATGATTGCCCCAAAGATATGTTGATGTCATTAAAGATATACGATGTATCATTTAGTAAGATTAAAAGTCATTTTGAAATGATAAAAAAATTTTGAATTGCAATATCATCTTTTCAAGTATTAAGATTGACTTTATATTTTTTATTTTTCTTATGGAGATTCTAATAAAGGTTATTCAAAGTAAAGCTCATTGGTATTGTTATTGTGTGGAGCATGATTGTGTTGTTCAAAGTTCACTCAAAGCTTTGGAGTAACACTAGAAGAGGGCTTACGATAAGCAATGGAAGGGACTTCCGAGGGTTGAAGTTAGGCACTCCAATGCCCACAGGGGTGCCCCAAAGCCAGGGATGGCACCCGAGCACTAATGGGGCATCTAGACCCTTGCCTAATGCTCCAGAACTAGAGCATGTGGAAAGTAGCGCCCATCAGGGGTACAACAACACCCAGGAGCACTTTCTTAGCGTTGCTGAGACGGTGCATCAGGAAACTCGATGCTCGGGACATGCAATCTAGTGCCAGAAACAACTCAAGCAGTTTAGGCATTTAAATCCTCGTTGCTGAATTTGGAGCACTCTCTCGACAACACTTGAACGAAGTAGAGTAAAGCAGTTTGTGTGAGTTGAGTGGATTTTTGCATTTCTCGCCTGTGATCAATAGAGAAGAGCTCGAGAGTTCTAGGATTGTTGATATGATTTGAGTGTGGTGTTATCTGTACATTTCTTCTAATTTCATAGTTGATTTTTTTGGTGTGGTCTGGCTTTCTAGGTTTTTTCCGTTCTTGAGTTTTTTTTTTCATGTTAAATATGTGCTATTTTTGGGATTTCTTATTTGCTTGCTTTTGTTCAATTTGTTTGTTTTAGATCTCTTTAATCTATGTTTTCCGCAAGTTTTGTGAAGTTAAAAATCCTCCCAACAAATGTTATCTTAGAGGGGGTTTAGTGAAGATCCTTGATTCAAGTGGGATCAATAATCGACTAAGCAATGTACAAGATGGAGAAGTTCAACGATTTGAACTTTGCGTTCTAGAAAATATAAGTTGAAGATTTACTATATAAAAAAAAGTGTATTTTCCACTGGAAGGAATTACCAAGAAGCTTGAATCTGTGATTAGAAGAATTTGCTTGATCGAACAACACTAGGTTTGATCCATCTCTCTCTTCTCATCTATTGCATTCAAGATTGTAAATGAGAAAATTGTGGTAGACACCTTGACTTCAAATAATGTTTCTGTTAAAAAGATTATTCAATATGTAGATGGGGGATGATCGTTCGATGGTTGAATGTTTGAATAATTTCAACACTGTGATTAATCAGTTGTGTTCCATGGGCACCAAGTTCGATGGCGAGGTAAGGGCACTGTTAATCCTATCTTTATTGCTAGATAGTTGGGATGGACTAGTCACGACAGTAAGCAACTCTTCAAGTAATATGAAATTAAACTTTAATGACATTGTAGGGTCATTATTGAATGAAGAAGTCCATAAGAAGGTGAGTTGTAAAACTTCAAGTTTTATTTTGAATGTTGAAAACATAGGAAGTAATCTAGGTAGAAACACGAGTAGGAAAAAATTCAAGTCTAGAAGAGTAAAATCCATAATAGGAAGAGGTAGTGAGAAAGGAGAATGTTAGACCTATGGGAAGAAATGTTACTTCAAGAAGGACTTTAAGGCTTTGAAGAAGGTTGGCGGTGGAGGTCAAGCCAAGAAGCTCTTTACAAATGTTTCCATAGAAGAAATTCAAGGAGAATTCATTGTTTTGTCCCTTTATAGTACTGAAGCTTAAATAGTAGATTCATGCCTCTATTTATTTATCAATGATGTTTTTAAAAATTACACTCAGAATGATTTAGGAAGATGTATTTGGGAGATAACAAGACTTGCAGTATTGTAGGAAAAAGTGATGTTGATATCAGGCTGTCAAATGTACCAATTTGGAAACTCAATGAAGTTGGACATTTTCAATGTTTGAAGAGAAATTTGATCTCGGTGAGCCAACTTTCAAGGTTAGGATATGTGACTACTTTCACAGGTGATTCATCAAAGGTTATTGAGGGGTATTGTTAATGGTTTGGGGCAACATTGAATGCACTTCTTGATTAATGACATGACTGAATCCATTGATGTAGCTAAAACAAAGATTGATACAGGTTTTTGGCACCATAGGCTTCACCATATGTGTGAGAAAGATATGAAATCTCTATTTTTTAAAAATAAGTTTTAGGATTTAAAGTCGATAGGATTATATTTTTGTGAAGGTTGTGTCTATGGCATGTAAAAGAATGTTCCTATTCTTCAAAAGTGGATTATAGGTGAAGTCCAAAAATATTATAGTTAGTGCGCATTGATGTATGCTATCTTATTCTAGTTAAATCTATTAGAAGTTCTCATTAATTTGTCACTTTCATTGATGATCATACTAGAAAGGTATGTATATCTTTCTTAAGTAAAATTATGATGTTTTTAAGAAGTGGAAAATCATGGCTGAGAATGAGACAAGACTTGAAGTTGAAGTGTTTCAGATCAGTTAATGATGACGTTATCATGATCAGAACTTCATGAACTATAGTTCATCAAAAGGAATCAAACATGAGCTCACAGTTTCAAGGACATCAAAACAAAATGGTGTGGCTGTGTGTATGAATAGAATCATCACAAAGCGTGCTAGGAGCGTGAGGTTACATGCAGACTTGCCAAAAAAGTTTTGGGCAGAAGCAGTGAATGTTGTAGTTTATTTGAACAATTGTGGTTCGTCAGTACCTTTGAATGGAGGCTTGAAGAAGTTTGGAGTGATAAGGAGGCAACTCTATTTCACCTGAGAATATTTGGGTGTTCAACATATATTCATGTTGATGCAGGATCCAAAAGTTTGATTCAAAATATTTTAAGTGCACTTTCATTAGATATGACTCAAATGAATTTGAGTATAAATTCTGAGATTATCACAATAAGTAGTCATTAGAAGTAGGGATGTGACTTTCAATGAACTGAAGATGTACAAGGACAGAAAAAACTCAAGATTGTCCATCAATTACATTTGAAGAGTCTTTCTCAGTCACCCACTATTAAAGTCAGGATCCAAAAGTTTGATTCAAAATATTTTAAGGGAACTTTCATTAAATATAACTCAAATGAATTTGGGTAAAAATTCTGGGATTCTCACAATATGTTGTT